CAATAATATTGCAATATAACTATGTATGCTGTCAGGTGGGTACTTATCAGGGTGATCACTTTGTAAGTTATATAAATGTCTAATCTCTATGCTGTACACCTCAAACTAATACAGTATTGTATGTCAACTGTCATTGAAAAATAAAATTATTTTTTAAAAATGTAAGCCCTCATCCAGGTTTTACTTCGGGCTTCACAAGTACTGAGTGATTGGTATGCAGTAGAGAAGGAGCGGAAGTTTGTGTCGCATGGGATTGGTGGTCCATAAAGTGTGAATATTTGTTTAATTTGCATAGAATTTCTTTAATTTCCCTCATGTGGTCAGAACCCTTTGGTTAGAGAATAAGTCGTGATGTGGACACAGTAAAAATGTAGAGGTAAGTTTATTGTGTTAGTGGCACTGTAAATCTATGAGAACTTGAGTGTGGACATGGGGTATGAGATTCTGATGATGAGTCATAGCCTAGACCAGTGATGGCGAACCTTTTGAGCTCGGCGTGTCAGCATTTTGAAAAACCCTAACTTAACTCTGGTGCCGTGTCACATATAGAAATATTTTGATATTTGCAACCATAGTAAAACAAAGACTTATATTTTTGATATGTATTTTATATATTTAAATGCCATTTAACAAAGAAAAATCAACCAAAAAAATGAGTTCGCGTGTCACCTCTGACACGCGTGCCATAGGTTCGCCATCACTGGCCTAGATGTTAGGTGAAGTGAGCCCAGTTGCTCAGTACTGTGGGTCTCACCCATCCTCCTGCACATATATTGGATGTTTCAGGACTCGGTGGTCTTTGAGGATGTGGCTTTGGACTTCTCCCAGGAGGAGTGGGCTTTGCTGGATGCTGCTCAGAGGGAGCTCTACAGAGATGTGATGCTGGAAACCTTTAGAAACCTGGCATCCGTGGGTAAGAATGACATTGTTCCTTCACTTCGTCATTTAGAAAACATGCGTTTTTTGCATACCAAGACTGTTCCCAGGTTTGGAATGTGGAAAGGGAATACATTAATTAATAAGAAAGACATTGTCATAACTCATAGAACTAGAATCTAACAGCTCCTCCATGAAAATGAGAATCTATGTATTAGACTGAGTTTTTCTTTTCATGTAAAAAAAGTGTTATCAGTGGACATAGATTTCATGGGTTATCAGGGCGCCCAGTAAAGTTTGTTTTTGTAACTTTGGGAGAATTTTACTGTTTATTAAATTGCTTACCATCTGACCTCTTGTACTTGTTATTGATGAAGCTCTGACACAGCCAGCCTCCTCAGTGTCATTTCTGGCTCACAGGTGCCTGTATTCATCTTGTAGGGTTTGTTCCCTTTCTGTTTTCAGATGATGAGACTCAATTTAGGTCCAATGGGTCAGTTTCTCAGCAGGATCTTTATGTGAATAAAATGTCCAAGGAAGATAAAATAGCAGAGTTCACCAGAAATTCTTGGGTCTCCATCTTAGGAAAAATTTGGGAAGAACTTAACATTGAAGATCAGCACACAAACCAGTGGAGATATCTGAGGTGAGTTGCATTCCTGGAGGAATCTTAGTATGTCTTGAAATTTAAAAAGCAAACTAACAACCCACATAAGCCTAGATCAAATTTGCTTATTCAGATTTTCACATAAAAAGCACACCTTTATTAAATATGACATAGATGTTGAATGTTAGAAACAGTTGAAAAGAATTAGGGAAAAGCCCATGTTTAGGAAACACTGTTTTCATAATGGCTGTGGCCAATCCATTCTGTTCGTTCCACTTTAAAACAAATCACTTAGGGTAGAAAACAACATATTCACTGAAATTGGTGAGAATGTAATTCTAATATTAATAAATATTAATAAATCATTATTTTTATATTTTGTTAATCCTCACCTGAGGATATTTCTTCTATTGATTTTTAGAGAGAGTGGAAGGGAATGAGGGGGGAGAGAGAGAAATATTGACACATTGATTGGTCACCTCCCACATGTGCCCTGACTGGGATTGGGAATCAAGCCTTGAGCCTGCAACTGAGGTCTGTGTCTTTGACTGGAATTGAACTTGAGACCCTTCAGTCTGTGGGCCCAGTGCTCTAACCACTGAGCAAGCCCACTAGGGCAAGAAATCATTAGTAGTCAAACTATTGATAACACGTTTCTCATTTTTTAACAGAAATTACGTGATGGAGAGACTCTGTGAAAGTAATGATCAATGTGGGGAAGGCTTCAGTCAGACTTCAAATCTTAATCTGTACCAGAAAACCTTTGCTGAAGTAAAACAGAATGAATGCAGTGCATATGCAAAAGTCTTCATGCATCATTCATCTCTACAGAGTCACATTGCCATTCATACTAGACACAAACCGTATCAATGTCAAGAATGTGGGAAGGCCTACAGTTGTTCTTCAGACCTAAGAGTGCACGTGAGAACCCACAAAGGAGAGAGGCCCTATGCATGTAATTTATGTGGAAAAACCTTTCCTCGTACTTCTTCCCTCAACCGGCATATAAGGATTCATACTGCAGAGAAAACCTATGAATGTCAGCAATGTGGGAAAGCCTTCATTGATTTTTCAAGTCTTACTAGTCATCTGAGATCCCACACTGGAGAGAAGCCCTATAAATGTAAGGAATGTGGGAAAGCCTTCAGTTATTCCTCAACTTTTCGAAGACACATGATAACACACACTGGAGAGAAGCCCTATAAATGTAAGGAATGTGGGGAAGTCTTCAGGTATTCCTCAACTTTTCGAAGACACATGATATCACACACTGGGGAGACACCACATCAATGTAAGGAATGTGGAGAAGCGTTCAGTTACTTCTCAGCTTTTCGAAGACACATGATATCACACACTGGAGAGAAACCCTATGAGTGTAAACAGTGTGGGAAAACCTTCATTTATCTCCAGTCCTTTAGAAGACATGAAAGGATTCACACTGGAGAGAAACCCTACGAATGCAAACAATGTGGGAAAACCTTCATTTACCTCCAGTCATTCCGAAGGCATGAAAGGACTCACGGTGGGGAGAAGCCCTATGAATGTAACCAGTGTGGGAAAGCCTTTAGCCATCCCTCATCCTTTCAAGGACATATTAGAGTGCACACTGGAGAGAAGCCTTATGAATGCACTCTATGTGGCAAAAGTTTCAACTGGCCCGTATCCTTACGAAAACATATGAGAACACACACCAAAGAGAAGCCCTATGAATGTAAACAATGTGGAAAACCCTTCAATTTGCCTGCTTGCTTTCGAGAACATGTGAGGATGCATCCTGGAGACAAACCGTATGAATGCAAACTATGTGGGAAAGCTTTCTATTGCCACATATCCCTACAAAAACATATGAAAAGGCACACTGCCGAAAAACTCTATAAATGCAAGCAGTGTGGGAAAGCCTTCAGTTGGCCCGAACTTTTGCAACAGCATGTGAGAAAACACTCTGCGGAGAAGCCTTATGAGTGTAAGGAATGTGGGAAAGTCTTCAAGTGGCCATCATCTTTACCGATACATATGAGAATGCATACTGGAGAGAAACCTTATGAATGCAAGCAATGTGGGAAAGCCTTCAGTTGTTCCTCGTCCTTAAGAAGACATACGAGAACACACACTACAGAAAAACACTGCGTATATAATGTGGGAAGCCCTCCTGCAAGTGAATTCAAGCACGGTGCTTCAGAAAATTCACACCAGGAGGGAAATCTTATGAAAGCTGTAAATATGGTGTTGCCTTTATGAGTATCTCATTGTTAAAATGGACCCATAGGTAGTATATTTCCAGTTCTTTTGCAAATAAACATTTAGGTGAAAAATAACTCTCCAAGTACTCTTAGCGATAGTACATAAAATTTGCATGTAGTGTTTTTTCTTACATTTCAGTAAACAAAACTTTCATCTTTAGTTTGTGGACTTTAAATTGCCCTCTAAGGGGTTATTGGAACAATGACACTTTGTTATTTGTTGGATGTTTTTTACTGACTTAATGTGGCAGATACGGATATCAACCATCATGTATTTTCTACCTTTTTGGCCAGAGGGGTCTTCCATTTTTCTTATAAGTAGATTTTGTAATTATGAAATTATATGAATTGTTGTTTTCAGCTTTTGCCTGGCCCTGTTGTTCTTGCTTGTGATTGGGAATTGCATTTACTTGAGACCCGTGTGATATCACCATGAGCTAGAGAGTTTGAGAGTTTGAGATGGTTCTGTTGGATTGTGCTATGTCAGCGTGGCCAATGGGAACTGCAGGTCCCAGAATCTTTTATGATTGCATGTTCTAATTCAACAGTAGCCTAACTTGGCATCAGATTTGGAAGGCAGACGTGAAGAAGCCATTACTTTTTGGAGCCACTTTAAAGGGTGATAGAAAGATATATAGGGACTTCTAGATCCCAGCTTTCAGCGCCTCTCCCTGATTTCTTTGCCCTACTGATAAAGAGTGTCATCAGAAGAAACAGCCAGTGCTGGACTTCCACTCTTCTCAGAGGCAGAGGCTTCCACAGATACCTCCATGAGCTCGGTATCAAGGATCCACCCACTTGTGTAATCAGGTACTCACAATATGTATTTCCTAGAAACTGTAAGGTGTCCTCCAGGCCACTCATTCAGACTCATGGTTAGTGTCTCATACTATGACTCACCCTCTTCTCCAGATGTTAACATAGTTCATAAAGTCTAATTTGTATAGCAAACACTGTTCGTAATACTTTTAGTGGTTTTCTGGTCCTGCCTCCACCACAAAAACTACAATGTTGCAGCAAAACACTTGGGACTTGGTTGATCTATTGAATTTTTAAGTGTGCTGACCCAGCTCTTCCTGAGAACAAACACCTTCCTCATCTAGTAGCTTTGGGGAGATTTCATTACACAGAACTAAGTGCAGTTCTTTCATAGGAGTTAATTAAAAAACAATGTGTATTTTATTCTCAAGGAAAATCAACTGGATGGCTTGGGACAACAGAGCATTTTGTCTCCTCGTTCTTTAGGCAGAAGTCCGAAATCGAGGTGTTGGCAGGACCAGCTTCCTCTGAAAGTGCCAGGGAAGCATCTGTTCCAGCTCTTCCGGCTGCTGGTCATTCATTGGCTTGAGGCAGCGTCACTCTAATCTTCACAGGGCAGCATTCTCCCTGTGTGCATGCCTGTCTTTTCATGTGGCATAGTTTTTGTAATTATTGGGTTAGGGCCCGCCTTTCTCCAGTATGACCTCATCTTCTACAACAACCCTGTTTTCTCCCCATGACCCATTCTAGACTCCAGAGCCACCTGCCACTGCCCATGTCCACTTCTAACCCCTGTGCTCTGCGTAGTCTCAACCCCAGGGGCCTGTGGGAAATGGAGATCTCAGAGTCTCCGCAGACACCCAGCAGCCTTTTAAGAAATGCTCCAGAGATACCTAGGGCTCAGCCTTATTGGAAGTTTGCAGGGCAGGTCAGTGGGGCAGAGACTCGGGGAAGAGGCTGCACAGGGAAAATGGAAGCTCAGCTCTTCCCCTGGGTCCTGCGGGCACCGCCTCTGTGGGCCGAGCTTCAGAAGGGGCCGCCCGCTGTCTCCGGGAGGACCTCGGGGCCGCTCAGGGCAGACGGAGCCAGCACACGAGACCAGCAGGCTGAGGTGGGCTCGGGGCAGGACACGTTCGCTGTCCTCACTGAGTGACAGAGGGTCAAAGTGATGAGTGCATTTCTAGAAGAATCCGAAAGCTGCAGGGGTGGGGCTGGAACATCAGCATCCCAGCCACACTGGGCCCCTGGCACTTCTTGCTCAGGTTTGCCTCCTGTGGTTCTGATGGAGAGATGGCTGCACTGTTGAGGTTCAGGAAGTGTCATGTCCCGACTCCAGGAGGAGAGAGAAGTAAATGGTGTTGGCTCCTCCGGAGTAGGTAAGAGCTGTCACATGGGTGTTGCAGAGGGCCTGGCTGTGTGTCTGAGTTTGTCTGTCTGTGTCTGGGTGTGCCCGCATGTATGCCCCAGTGACAGAGTTTGTGTCACGTCACCCTGTGTGTGTGTGAGAGAGAGTTCAGGTGTGTGGATGGTGGTTCCCTTGTCCTGGCAGGAGCCTTTGTGATTGTGTGTTTTACTGCAGGGCTGTAGTATTTCCTCAGTGTGTTTCCTGAAACCCAAATATACAGTAAGCCCACACAGCTTTACAAGTGACTTGTATTTAACTTTTAAGATGTATTAGTTGATAGTTATTAGAAGATTAAATTCTTTTTTTTTTTTTTTACTTTTCTTGGGAAAGCAATGTAAGTTTAAAATGAAATAAGTACTTTGATATGTCATCATTTTTTATGGTACTACATTTATTGAAAGTGTGAAGATACAGGACCTTTATAAATATCTAGAATTAAAAATTACCTATGAAAATAAAAACAGATTGGTTTTAAAAAGTCAATTTAGTAAATACTCTGCTATGTTTCTATGACAATATTTGGTATAAACACTACAAAATAAGGCAAACTTCTGGGAAAAGTCATTAATAAAATTTTATGAAAAAGTGTTCAGTCCTCACTTCTTTTAATTTGTAGAATCACTGGCAGAGTACATCAGGCGAGTAGAGCAGTGTCAGAGGTCCAGTTTCAGACAGAAGGAGCCTTCTCTATTTTGGTTCCAGAGGTGGTTGGACGCCCCGCAGCTTCATTTCGTCGAGTCCTTTCCAGTATTTAAAATTGTTGTCCAGCCCTAACCGGTTTGGCTCAGTGGGTAGAGCGTCGGCCTGCGGACTGAATGGTCCCAGGTTCGATTCCGGCCAAGGGCATGTACCTTGGCTGCGGGCACATCCCCAGGAGGGGGTGTGCAGGAGGCAGCTGATCAATGTTTCTCTCTCATCAATGTTTCTGACTCTCTATCCCTCTCCCTTCCTCTCTGCAAAAAATCAATAAAATATATATTTTTTTAAAAATTGTTGTCCAGATGCTGCAGTAACTCCTGTAGGTCTACAAAGTCGTCCCAAGCACTGTACGTGTCTGTGACGAAGTAGTCGATGAAGGAGATCTGGGACTTGGGGATGCTGCAGGTGTTTCGGTCAAAAGCTGGCATCACCACAGGTAAGTCCAGCTTCTTTCTTCTTCGGTCTGAGAAAAATACTCCTCCGAGATGCGTGCAGCCCACTCGATGCACTGCTTCAAGGGCCGGCAGGGGTTGGACACGTCCGCGCACTTGAACGTCATCCACTTGATCATCATCTGCTTGATCAGAGTCCGGTTCTCTGGAGACAGGAGCATCGTGTCTACGTCACGAGGGTTTGGCTCACTCCCCTCGCTTTCCTCCAGCTCTGCCAAGGGCTTGACGACGCTGTTGACAAACTTATTGATGTGCTCGAAGTGCCTGGTCATCTCTGTGGCCAAGACCATGTCGATGATGGCCTGGCACAGCATCCTGTAGTCATTCCTCTCCACGTTCTTGAAGATGTTGCTCTTGCCCTCCCTGGCGGTCAGCTGGAAGGCCAGGGCCGCGTGGTGGCTCTCCAACACGGCACAGTCGTTGTACAGCACGGCCAGCGCGCTGCCCGCGTCGCACAGGAAGAGGTTGGTCCTCCCCGGGTGGTCCAAGTCGTGGATGGCGGCTGCGATGAGGGCAGCGGCCTCATCCACTGAGTCTAATGCTTGCTTGATCCTCTCCTGGCAGAGGAAGCAGGCAGTGGCGTGCAGCACGTCGGCCGTGTGGGTGGAGTTGTGGTAGGGGTTGGAGGAGTGGTAGTTGGCCTCAATAGTCTGCAGCCACAGCCGCAGCGTCGTCTCTGAGCACTTCAAGAATTCACAGACCCCAAAGCGAGCCAAGATTTTGAGACCAAGAAAAGTCAAAGGCCTTTTCTGAGTGGCAGTCTCCAGTTCAAAGACATTACAGTCCCAGTTGTCATCGTTTTCCATGGCCCCAGCTATCCGCGGTGGGATATCGGGAAGGGACTCTGAGGCGAGTAAGCTGCCCGAAACTTGATGCAGGTTTTTTGCTGAGAGGGTAACTCATTCCCAGATAGTCTTCGAAAACCGTCAGAAATCAGGCCCCCAATGAGGTCCTTGGTGTGAGGATCCTCTTCCTTCGCCCCGAAACTGTGGTGAATACAGCTCCGAGGTTCTCAGAATTTCCAGGACGCGGTCTAAGGCTTCCGACACAGGCATGGAACTGTTCTCCTGGGCAGCATTGATGATATTGATCACCTTGGTGATGGGCGCCTCGATGGTCATGGAGTGGATCGGGCCATGGAGGGGTGTCGCCTCTGGCTGGCCACTTCGCTTGCTCCTGAGGCAACAGTCCTGACGTCCAGGGAGCTTTTCCTCTTGTCTTTATGTTTACCTGATGGATTATCTGTGGGAGTGTCAGAATGAACAGATTCCGTGATCTTCTCAGCCTTACTGTTGCCGCTGTTCACTCGGATGATGGACACATAGTGTCTAATTTTTCCTCCCTGTCCAATGACAGGTATTATCTTCACATCTTGTGGTACATTATCTCCGTTTTTGGCGTGGTAAACGCCTTGCCACTCCTTGCCCATCTTCATGCATGAATTTATAGTACTGAACAAGTCAGCCTTTTTCTCATTTAGAGGCATTTTTGCTAACTCCTTCCCTAATAATTCACCCGACTCAAAGCCCACTGTTGTTTCAAATGCTGGATTTACATACTGTATGTAGTTGTCTTCACTCGTGATTTGAATGGCGTCTTGGCTTTCTCTAGTGCAGTGAACACTGAATTACAAGCCCTGAGTTCAGCTGTGACCGCACCTCTCCAAACTCCAGCTGCAGGACATCCGCGTAACAGGCCAGGAGGCTGGGGTTCTCCACGTACCTCCTCCTCCTCGGAAAGCCGGCACTGAGGA